ACTTTCTTAGGTCATGAGATTAATCAGTAGTCAAATCATGACAACTCCTGAGTTCATCTAAATCTTGTTCTCATCATGTACCAGCACTGAATAGTGTTACCATGTGATAAAGATGAATGCAGGCAGTCAGTAAGTAACCTATGTTGGCCTGCAGGGATCTGCAGAACCCTAAAGTGAACTAAAAGGTTGCAGGACTATCCCTCAGGGATTTACCACCTAATGGGATCAACCATGTAGTAATTAACTATACTTGACTTCCAATAAAACTGTATATCATCATTACCTATATATTAGGAATAAAAGTTCTGTCATATATTAAAATTTACTGATTTAATTCAATTTACAAGTGTCCAAATGACTAATAGGGACAAAATATTACATTAGGCACTAAAATATTTTTTCCTAATGAATTTATATTCTAATCATATGTCCTAGTTCAGGCTAATTTGCTCACCCTAGATTACAAGATGATTAATATGGCATATTTTATTTTTAAAGTAGGGTTTCTTCTCTTTTTATGGGTTATATAGATTAATGAGTTTCATCTTGGCAAATTCATATGTGCACATACTTTAATCATTTTCACCTCTCCATCACCCCCCTGCCCTGTCTTCCTCTCTAGTGTCACATTCTTTTGGGGTTGTTTATATATTTTTCTCACATCCATTCTCCAATAATCCACCCCTAATCTCCCTCCCCTTTCTGTTATCCTTCTCCTCTTGTCTAATAATAGTCTCCTTTCCATTTTCTTGTTGTCTTTTTAAGGTTCCACATACGACATTAAGGAGAACATACAATATATATCTTTCCGATTCCTAATTATTTTGCTCAAAATGATGGTCTCCAGACCCATCCATTTTCTTGCAAATAACAAACATCTCTCCTTCCTTGTGGATGAATAATACTCTATCTTGCATGTATACCACATTTTCTTTATCCATTTATCTGTTGATGGGCATCTAGTTTGGTTCCACATTGTGAATTGAGCCGTAATAAACATGACTATACTGGCATCTCTATAGTTTGTTGATTTTAATTCCTTCGGGTATTATCAAGGAGTTGTATAACTAGAATAAATAGAAGTGCTACATGTGGTATAAAAAATACAGTGATCTTTTAAAAAAGTTTTACAGTAAAACACACATTGTCATTAATCTCCCTGAATACATTCCCCCTTGCTTCCAACACACTTATCTCCACTGAAGCAGTCTTATCACTGAAAGAGTTCTTGGAGTTCTTTCATGAGTGTCCTTACCGGAACGTTTTGGCTAGCTCTGTTTAAATTTCTTGGTCATTTTGATTTTGACAAAGAACCAAATTTGTCCAGTGCCAGATCCAGTGAATAAGGTGGACAAAGACACAAAATAGCATTTTAATTGACACCTGTTGATCAATAAGGGGGGTCAAAAACTATGCTAAATGTTTTTTTTTAATTAGAGTAAAAGACATATTGCCATTAATCTGCCTCAAAATACTTGCTTCAAACATATGTGCCCTTTTTTTGGGAATGTCTCTTACTATAACAGACTTTTTAAATTTAAACATTCACTGTAGTTTTAAGTCATCCCTTGTGTTTTTTGGGAACCTCAAAATTTATTTTCACTGTGCTTGTAGCAGTTCACATTCCCACAAAAAGTGAGTTCCTTTCCCCCACATGCTCAACCGCATTAATTTTTTAATATTATTGATGGTAATCATTCTGAATAGAGTGAGGTAGAATCAAAATGTCATTTTGATTTGCATTTCTCCAGTGACTAAAGTCATTGAACAATTTTTCATACACTCATTGTTTATTTGTACTTCTTTTGAAAAGTGTTACTCAGTTCACTTGCCTCTATTGACTTGGTTATTTGAGTTTTTTGTGTTAAAGTTTTGAGTTCTTTATTTATTTGGAAAAGTAAGTGATAAAGATTTCCTACCATTTGGTAGACTGTCTCTTCACTCTATTTCATTCCCTTTTTGTGCAGAAACTTTTAAATTTGAAGTCCCAGGTGTTGATTCTTGCTATTATTTCCTGTACTATTGTCATTCTTTTCAGGAATACATGATAAAATCTCTAATGAAAGAAGTTACTGAAGAATAAGTCCTCCATATAGTAAAGGCCATGTGTGCCAAACCCACAGCCAACATTATTCAGAATGGGGAAAAACTGAAAGCATTTCCTCTCAAATCAAAAACCAGGCAAGGATGTTAATTCTTACAGATCTTATCCAATACTGTGTTTGAAAGTATGACAAAAGCAATTAGGCAAGAGAAAACAAATACAAAGTATACAAATAAGAAAGGAAGAAGTCAAGCTACCCTTGTTTGTAGATTTTTTGATTCTATATTTAGAAGACCCTAAAAACTTTACCAGAAAACTTTTAGAGCTGATAAATTAATTCAACAAGGTATCAGGATATAAAATCAGCAATAAAAATGTGTAGCTTTACTAAACTTGAGTAATGAACCAGCTGAAAAAGAAATTAAGAAAACTATTCCATTCACAGTAGATTCAAATAAAATAGAATACCTATGGATCAACTTAACCTTGGAGATGAAAGACCTCTACATTGAAAAATTTTAGAAAACTGAAAAAAGAAATTGAAAAAGACACCAGAATATGGAAAGATCTCCTATGTTCATGGATAGGCAAAATTAATATTGCCACAATGGCCATATTACCAAAAGCAATCTACAGATTTAACAAAACCTTCATAAAAATACAATGACCTTCTTCACAGAACTGGGAAAAAATTATAGAATTCATATGGAAATAAAAAATACCAAGAATAACAAAAGCAATCCTCAGCAAAAGGGACATGGCTGGACACATCATAACACCTAATTTTAGATTATATGACAAAGACATAAAAACAAAAACAGTACAGTACTAACATAAAAAATAGAAATGTTGAAATGGAATATTGGAATGGAATGGAATAGAGAACACAGAAATCAACCCATCCTATTACAGCAGCCTGATTTTAGGCAAAGGAACTGAAATATACACATTGGAGAAAAGAATCTCTTACAGTATTATAAAAGTTGGATGTGCACTTATATATAAGATAGAAGGTAGATATTCCATTGCACTCTGCAAAAAGTCAATTTAAAATGGATCAAAGTCCCAGAAGTAAGATTTAAAATGTGAAAACTGCTAAAAGAAAACATGCGTAAACACTTGAAGCCATGGTCACAGGCAAAGACTTCCTAAACTAGGATTTTTAAAATAAAATATAATAACCTAATACTAAAAGAAAAACACTAAGCCAATAACCATTACCAGTAAGTATCAGCTCTGAGATCTTCCTGTATTTACAAAGAGTAGGAAAAAAGTGGAAGGTCAGCTGGTCAACTGTAGCAAAGCTTTTCCTTGCCTTTATTTTTTGGTGACTATCCACGTGGAGGGTTCAGTGCTATCTCATCTATTGAAGAACATTTACCCATTTTTCCCTTGCCAGACTCTCATGGTACCTCAACTTCAGTGTAGCTGCTATTGTCTCTTACCTACGTCTGAACCTCTTTTTGTATTTTTCATGCACAGCTGCTCATCTGTCTCTGGCTTTGAACAAGTGCATCCATTCTCATCCTTAGTAGAGTTGACTCCTAATCCAACATCTTTAAACTTGACCTTTTTGACCCCAGCATTTCTAATTAAAATCTACATACGTCTTCCTTGCTACATGTATTCTGCCTTCAGTCACTGGAATAAAACACCTTGCCTTTTTAAAAGAATCACCTTCTATCCACCTAATTTCTGTTGGTATTACGAAAATGATATGTACGGTCATGTGAGTTGTACTTTGAACAAAACACTTGGCTGAAGTGTTAGAACTGAAACTACATTCACATGAGATATGTTTTAGCACAGAGCTTTGTCAGCCTTGTGAAAGTCTCTACCACTTGTTCCGCCCAAAGAGGATGACTTTGTCTAATTCACCCAAAGGTGGCCCATATTTACTGTGGAAGCCCTGAGTGTCCTTCCTTTTATCTCAAGTCATCTATTTCAGAAATATCTCTTTCTTCCTTCTTTCATTCTCCCAAAGCACATCTATGCTCCTGCCTCAGCTTTCCAGGTGTTGGGATTATAGGCAACACGCCCAACTCCAGTGCTTTATGTTTATACTATTTTCATTGCATCACTTCTCTACATGTAACTCTTCCTCTGTGTCCCTTTTCTACCAGGGATTTCTTTTCCATGAAGCACAAGTTTATCTTGTTTAACTGCTCGAAAACTTCAAGAATTCTCTGTTGTCTATATTATTAAGTAAAAGCTCCTCAACTTGTCATTTTTCAACTGGTCATGGTTTACAGTATTTATGGTGTCTTGTATCTTGCAAGCTTTCAGTAAATAGTTAAACTCACTAAATATAAAATATTATAAAATAATGTTTCCAATGCTCACTGCCCACCTGTGTTCAACTAAAATCCCCTGTGTTTACCCTCTCACCACGAGCTGCTTTATACTTACAGACCCCATCCTTAACTGTGTGGTCTGCAGAACACCAGTGTTGCTGATGCATTCACCTTGGGCATTATCCACACCCAGCCCCAACAGATCATTCCTGGATGTCCTCCCCCTGGACTGCTTGTCCTGCACCCAGCAGGGGACAGGACAGAATGCATTTCCCATTTATTGTGCCTCATTTATCATGTTCTGTTCTTATGTTAGTCACTCATGGGTTTGTTCCTCCTACTGGACGATAAGCATTTTGACATTAGCAAGACTTTATTACGTGCCTCTGCCTCCTTCTGAGCTCCAACTTTAAGGAGAAATATGCACAAACCTATCACTGAGTTATGCACGTGCTAAAAGACAGGCTGACGAGCCATTTGACTTTTCAGGGAAGAGATACCATCACATAAAAAAAGGAAAAGAAAAAATAATTAAATATTTAAGAGATTTGTTTTTAATTTTTTTTCTGATAGCAACTAGACCGCCAGAATACATTCTGTATCACTGAGTTTAATATGCAAAATATAAAATGAACTATTTTTTTCCTCTTATGTTTTTATAGAAAAATGCTGAATTCCAGGAGCATGAAAAGATTCTGTCTCCAGATTTTCTTTCAACTGTTCAAATCACTGATTTACTAGCAGAGAATGCAGATGGAGTTCAAGAGTAAGTACTGAAGTATTACAATCAGACATCGATCAGCTCTAATTCATTTGTGAATGAACATGATATGCTTTATAAATGTTAAACTTTTTTATTGTACACTGAAATATATCCAGACTCTGGAGCACAAAACTGAAAAATAACTGACTTTTTGCACTGCTTGGCAGTCTTCTTAGTGGGAGAAATACATTGCAAACAAACTTGCTAATATTAACTAAGAGTACAGATTTATTGTAAAAGCGATCTCTAGCATATGGCATCTTTTTCTCTTCTCTTTCATTCATAAAACTGTTAAAATGAAAAAAGTACTGCATTTTCTGTAATATTAATAGTTGATATAGTTTATTGTTTTGTAAATTTTGGATATTGGTCAGACTTCTGTGATTTTGATTAGAAATGAAGGTATACTAAAAACTCTTGACTGCATATATTTTGCTTAAAAATATAACTAAACTTACAGGAAATAATTCAACATTTATACATCTCATTCTTTTTCAGCTTCCTATTTTATAGTACATCATTATGTAGAACATTATTCAGATATACTAAACAATATAATGTCCTTGATGTAGCTTCTAATAATTATCCATTTTAAAAAATTATCTCACTTTGTAATGAAAGTCTGATTAGCCATAATGTGTGGAGAGAGGGATGGTGTGATGGGCAGGACCACAGCATCCTGATGTTTTGTCTCTATAGTCCAGTCCTGTGACAAAAAGACAGTGTCATGCACCATAATGGAAAAACAGAAAATGACTCTGTCAACAGTTATCATGGGCAAAACTTACAAATACTATGTACAGAGGTGTTTTACTACTGAAAAGGAGAAATGACAAATGTACTGGCCAAGGGAGAAATCTGAGAAGAGAAAGCTTTTTTAAGAGCAGGTACCTAGGTGGTAGGAATATAACTAACTTTGTTTTGAAAGCCTATATTGGTATTGTTTGGGGGTCTTTGCTATTATTATTTATTTGTTTCTGTTGTTTTTTGTTTTTCGTATATTTTGCTTTGTTTTGTTTCGTTTTTCCCTTTAATACAGAAAGGACAGATGTGTAAGCTTATACATACCTAGAACTTCTAAAAATATGCAAGAATTGATTTTATCATGTGTAAAGGTATGAACAGCTACTTTTCAGAAAATGAGACATTATGGTAGTCATTGCTGATTTTCTTCACCTTGTCCTTGTGTTGAAGTCCAATAATTTTTTTATTCTTCTTTTATTGGTTTTAGTCTGTTTTCTGTTATTTTATTTCAATATGTGTGAAGGTATGGTCAGCTATTTTAAAGAGAATAAGAGATATTATGGTAGCTATTATTGATTTTCCTATTGTCTAGTTTTAAAGGCTTGCAATGCTTTCTTTTTTTGTTTTGATCAGTTTTATACTATTTTGTTTTGTTTGAATTCAACGTGTGTGAATATATGGACAACTATTTCAGGGAGAAAAGGAAACATTGTGGTACCCATGGTTGACTGACTGTTGTCTTGAAATCCTGTGTTGCTTGCATTGTTTTGTTCTGATCTACTTTGTTCTGTTCTCTGTTTTATCCTTTGGGGGAAAAAAAAAAAAAGAGCAGCTATATAATTCTAGTAGGCCTTTTCCCAAGATGCTTTTCACTCCTAGCTCTTGCAAACTGCTGACCTGTCATTTGACCACATTGCTTGGTGACTGGATCTTAGTTGGTGAATTAAAATCTCCAGTTTTTAACCAAACATTTCATGACAATTTTATCATTCTTTCATAAAAAAGTAACATTCATTGAGAAATCTGCTGCTAGATGTGAGCACTAATAAAAATGCATTCATGATGTTAACATCACTGACTTTCCTCTCTCATTAGTTCCATGTGTTTTTATGTAAAATATCTTCTATTTCTAGGTACACCAAGGACTTTTGATCAATTTAATGAAAAATAATAGGTAGTTAATATTAGGCAACATAATATAACTCAACATATATTCAATACTATGTATATTTTATTTGTATTAAGTATTTGATAAAAGATGTTACATTCAATCAAGTAAAATTAAAGACGATGCTGGTCTTTAGAATTATTTACCACATTATGTTATTCTGTATAGTGTGCTTTGCTTGACAATATATTTTTAAGTTATTGACTCCTTTTGCTGTTACATATCTGAACTGTAAAAGTATTTTTCATCTTTAGGGAAGGTGAGATCTCAGACAATCAATGTAAATGGTACAGAAGATGATAGAGAAATTAGCAAGATGCAGTAAACATTGATCTTTGTAAACTATCTCATTAATATAAAATTACATAAAGCAATCTCATCTTTAAATTAATAAAGTCAATATTATCTAAGGAACCATTTTTTTTTTTTTTTGGCCTTTTTCCTTTTTATCGGGACCAGGGATCGAACTCACGACTGCCCGCTTGCAAGGCAAACACTTATGCTGCTGAGCTAAATCCCCAGCTCCCTAAGGAACCATTTCTTTGTCAATTTTTGTGGTACTTTTTATGATGTTCTTAACTGGTAATCCTGAAATATTTGCAGTATTTCAAATAGCATATTTAAAAATAGGAATTACATACTTTTCAAAGTGACAGAAATATTTAAGTGCCCTATGACTAAGTAACATAACTATGCTGAAATTACACAGTGTATAAAAGTATATGCCTAATTATAACACATCAGTACATATTCCTACTTTTTAAAATAAAGACTTGCTCTGTATGAATGCAAATAAAACACCAAAGTATTATTAAATGTATTTTTGGAATATAAATATGAGTATATTTTTCATTGACTCCTAATTCCTGTCAATCTCTTATTTTTAAAATATAATTGTCTTTATTTGTATATCTGTGCCAAATGCCTTTTTTTTAAAAAAAGATAATCTTTACTTTAAAAATAACTTTATATTTCAGAAGTAGTAGTACATAACTGCAATCCCAGAATTCAGGAAGCTGAGACAGGAGGATCATCCAGAGTTCAAGACCAGTCTAGTCTGCGTACTGAGTACAAGGCCAGCCTGAACTACAAGACCTTGTCTCAAAAAATAAATAAGCAGAAAATAAAACCACTTTATAAACATACAAACAGCAGCAAGACATCTTGTAATGACCTTTCTATACATGGACCTTTCTGAACTTTTAAAGTTTTAGTCTTCATATCATCATCTAGAAATAAACACACTCCATTTCATGAGCATCTAAGAATAACACAATAATAGTTTTACTAAAATTCTCTGTTGAACCATAGTATGTTCATCTCTCTTATGTCTCCTGTTCCACCTTTTTGTATATCCAAAATAAAAGCTTAAAAATGTGCCAAAAAATACAGGGATACTTTACATTCAAACTCCAATAGTAAAAATTATTGTTTTTTACGTGACTCCCTTCCTAAGATGCTTTGAAGAAACATAACTGAATAAAGAGCAGAAATAATAAATGTTCAGCCCCTTAATTCAAGTTAACTGGGAAGATTCAAGTGGTGTTAGAGAAAGGAAGAGTTCAGGGAGGGGTTTTGGAAAGAGGAAAGGTGGTAGGAGATCAAAGGGATTTTACCAAAAGATAACTAGTTTCCTTCCCTCATACTTGTGATTAAATACAGAGTGCAAAGACATATGCAAATATTGAAGTCAAATATTTAATTAACAAAACACAACATGCAGATGGCAAATGAATAGAAAGCAGAAAAATGAACACTAGAAACAGAAGAAAATGTTAGGCAGAAGCTGATGATTAAAGAGGACATCAGTTCTACAAAATGAGACTAAAAATGGAATGTTAAAATCTGTTAATAAGAAACTTTTATAACTGAAGGGAGGAACTAAGGATAGATAATAAAACTAATGTAGAACGATGTTGTGAAAGGCAAGTCAGTAACAAGGGAAGACAAATTTAAGAAAACGTAAAATTGCATAGCGAAGCAGTGAGATGTTAGAAAATGCACTTGACAGAATGAATCAGAAAAAGTAAATCTTGTAAAATAATGCTTTGATGTGAATATATTAGTATAATAAAGCTTATGTATCATCTCATTTCTGGGATAAAGATACCCAGAGAGGAATAGGCCCTAGATTTGTCTTCAATAGTGCTAGGTGGCAAAAATCAGCAGAGTGACAAGTTACTAAATTTAGGAAATCAAAAGAATGTGACTCCAGAATAAAATACTACTTTAGGTTGTCATTTAACTATGATGATAATTCACTGTAAAATAAGCAACAACTCAGAATAGAAAATACAGTATTCATGTGGTCATATAAAAATATCTACCTCTTTGCACAACAAAAGCATGAATCAATCAGTTGGTGACTTTAAAGTAACTATAACAACAAAATTGCTAATGATAAACTGTGTTATAAAAAGACTGGTATTTAGCATGGGACTCATTTAAAATTAAAATAAGATCTAATATGATAATAATAAACTGAACCAACTCTTCTAGAACATATAATGAAAATAGTGTGCACATGAGAAAAAAAAAGAGTAACCTAATATCCTCCTCTCATCAAAATAAAATTTAGTTTTGGAATGCTTTTTAAAAATTGCATCAGATGTGAAAGTGTTAATATCTTTAAGTATACAAAAAACTCATAAATTCATAAAAGCAGCCATCAGGGATAGAGCTCTTTGGCATAAATACCTGCCTGGCAAGTACAAGGTCCTGAGTTCAACACCTAGTACAAAAATAAAAGAAGAAAACAACCAAGAGAACACGTTAAAAATGAATATCTTGTAACAAAGAAGCAAAAAATACACAAGATAGTGATTTTATAATAAATTAATAGATACTATAATCATAGGCTGAATTCAGACTACATTGGAGTATGGAAAAACAGACCTTTTAGTATGGTATTGATAGAAAACTAATTTAGCACTGCCTTTTTCTAAGGGAAGCTTAATAATACATTTCATCATATCAAATACAATCCAGCAATCCTAATTTTAAGAACATTTTTTCCTTTTTTTTAAAGATCACTGGAGTTTGGGGAATGTCTTAAATCATCTTTCCTTATTCTAGGTTCTTAACCAATGGAGGACATTGAAACCTATTGCCCATTTCAGAACATATATTCCCAATGTACTTTCATTATTACTTAGAGCTCAGTTTTCCTAATAAGTTCAGTGGATATGTAGAGGCCTTCTGGTACCTTTGGAATACTATTTTTTTTTTATTTTAGTTATATTCATTACAAACTTTTTCTATTTTTTTTTTTTTTGTACCAGCAATAAAACTCATTACCTTGCACTTTCCAGGCAGGTGCTGTGCTGCTGAGCTATATCCCCAGCCCTGTCTTTTCAATTTAGTTATTTGGTCTTTCATCATTTAGACATTTTTTGTCTCCTTAAGCACAGGTTCATTTATTGGTCTTTTTCTGTATGAATAACATTTCTGGCATCATGTTTAAAACATTTTGGCTTACTCAAATGTCACAGTATATTTTTGACGTAAACATTTGCATTATTTGCAATTAACATTTAAATAACTTCATCCATTAGATTTTATAGCACTGAATAATTTTCACATGGATAGATGTCCCATAACCACAGTACGTACTTCTTTCACTGATTTGAAATATACTGCTTCTGTCATGTACCAAGTACCTATGGACATTTGGTCTGTTTATTTACTTTGTACCTGATCCATTGGCCTATTTATTTATTCTCTTAAAACTAAATGATGCTGTATATTACTCAAATAAATATTGCTGAAAAAAATTTAATGCAAATTAAAGAAGCCTGGCTAGGACACAAACCTCATTCCCACCACCAGAGTGTCTTTCCAGATCTGAATCTAACTGCTGAGTTGCATGCTTGACGAAATAAAATATTAAAAAATATATAATATAAAAAGTTGATTATATTGATTTTTAAAATAAAATGTATCACATACAAATGGTATATTCTTTTATGAATATATAATGTGAATAAATATATCTATAAATATACTGTGTATCATCCATGTTAAATCCATATATATATGGATTTAACTCAAATAACTTTGAAGTCAACCTAGTTCTAAATTTGCTATTTTGTGATGTTTTATATAGTGATTACAAGAAAGCTGTCACTTATCAAAGCCATTTGTTTACGTATTAATATTCATTCATCAAAAGAAAATAAACTTCATCTTTAGGAATTAATAAAATAATCTAAGAGGGTGTCCACCATAAAAAATTATTATAGAAAAATTTCACATACTGGATGACATTATAAGAGAGTGGGATTACAGTGATCCCACACAAGCTCATTTTGGAGCTTGATATTTGCTCTATACCACTGAACATGAAGCAGACATCAGAGTTAAACACATTAGCATCAGCTTTATTTATTTTCATATTTGCTTAATCGATTGTTATTCTGATCATATAATTTGTTTTATTATTTTGAATGACTAGGGTCTTGCTTTGAAAAAACAGCATTAAGTTCTCACACACATACTGTCCCCACTCCTACCTCAAGAAGTCATGTATAAGCTAGCTGGAAATGCCCAACCTATCTTAATCAAAACAAGAAGCGTGATGAAAACATAAACCATAAAATATAAAGACGGTAGCCACAATCTTTATAATTCCACAACTGAAAATAGATTGAAAAAACATACAGTTGCAGATTTTAGAATGGGTTAAAATATTCTCTCATAAGAGGAAAGACCTAATTTACAATAGCAGAATCAGAGTGTACAGATTTAGAGCAGATACTTCCTGTATCACAGGAAGTGGACCGTTTATGTGACAGTAAACATAACCTACCCATATTTTTTCTTCTTTTATCCAACCTACTAAAAAAAGTAAATGTTAGAGAAATTGACGGAAAGTTACTTTAAACAGGAAATGCTGACTGGTTTGTAAAACAGCCAGGTCTCCACCTCCACTGTATATCCTGAAAGTAGTTATCCAAAGACAAAATCTCACTGGTAAGTAAAAAGAAAAGTAAAAGATAAGTAAAAAAGAAAAAAATAAGCATCTAAAGCACTGCAATAAAGAATAAAAGGAAAGGAATAGGAAAAAGAAATGGCAGATTAAGAAAATGCACCAGAAATATATAGCTGGGAATAGACAAAAAAGGTGCTAAAATATTTTATCGTTATTTTAAACTTTGAAGCAATCATAAGAACATAAAACAGAAGCTCAAGGAAGAGACAACAAAAAAAATGCAGGATCACAACATATTTTAAAGAAAAAGATCTTACAGAATTTGAGGTTAAATTTACAGCCGTCCAAAGAAGAAATGATTGCTGAAAACACACTAAAGGACAGACAAGCCAATATTATGAAATATACAAAATAAAAAGGAAATATGTTGCAAAAACTTAAATGTTAAAGTGAAAAATTATAGCTTGAGATAAAATTAACAAAACATGCATAACTGGATTCCTTTAAAAAAGAAAACAGAACAGAATATTTAACAACCCTGTATAAGAACATCTTCAGAAATAAAAGAAGTCTAATGATACAAATGAAAAGAGATATTGAATTTCAGAGGGAAAGTACTAGACATTAAAGACATATTAAAAACTGGAACAGGAGTATTAGAAAATAACAAGGAAGAAAAGGGATAAAATAGAGTTCTCTCTGTCTCTGTCTCACTTTTTTTGTCATTTTAAGCTTATGGTTCCAGGTACAGTTGAACATGTTTATGTTATAAGCATTAGAGAATTTTCATTCAAGAAACACATTGATTTTCTAAGCTAAAGGAACTGTTCAGTATTTAATCTAATTTAATGTCTGCATTTGTTTTTTGTTATAGAAAGCTGAGAATGTTTCTGAATTTCAAAAATCTTCAAACTTGTTTAAAAGATTCCATCCTGCTAGATTACTATGTGTCTGGATTTTTGTGGGCCAAAGAAATGGACTTTTCTATAATTCAGTGTTCAAAATTTATGACTTTACTGGATATGTTACTTCATAATCTTAAAAGTAAGTACATTATTTTTCTCTTTTTTAAGAAAAGGAAATTTATTCTACCTTATAAATTAATGTTTTTAAGCAAAAGTTTCTGATTTCATTGCAGTCCTTTGTATTTGTCAGTTTCCCATCACAGACCCACATGATTTAAAGAGGTTTAATTTGGCTCACAATTTGAGGGTTTCAGTTTATGGCTGGTTGGCTTCGGGGAAGTAATGCATAGTAGAGGAGTGTGGCAGAGGAATGCTGCCCACCACATGGAAGTCAGGAAGCAGAAAGCAAAGGTTAGAGCTCGGGCCGCTTTCTGAGTGACTCACCTGGGAGTACCAGGCCACACTCCCGAACAGGACAGGAACTCATCATGGGAGGAGTGCAGCACCTCAGTGTGCCAGTTACCTTCTAAGGCCTCCACCTTTGAGGACATGAGACTTTGGGGGACATTTTAGACATAATCATACATCAGTGTCGGATCTAGGTCAGCAGCACAGCACCTGCCTGGCAAGCATGAAGTTGTGAGTTCGATTCCCAGTTTTAAAAAATACATCAGAAATAAAAACTATAGGATATGTTTCTGAGTATAGCAATGTTATGACTCATGCCTCATTGCAACTTCAAATAATACTTAACACAACTAAAGTTCTCGAAATAATTAATTTGCTAAAGATGTGTTATTGTCACTTAAGTCTTCCTATCACACATCCCAAATACCTGGAAACTCTATGATAGTCTTCCAGCTGTTGTATATATCTAAAACCACTTGCAATTGAAAAGACATCAATAGGTATTTAGCCTGTTCTCATCATTACATGTAATGCTGTGCAGTTACAAAACAGAAAGAATGAGAAAGCTTTCCAGGTACTACTGTATTATGTGAAAGATATTCTTATTGATTAAAAGTAAAGCGAACCATTTTGTGTTTTTGCTTATAAATGAGAAAAAATAAGAATTAATATTTTTATTTGCATATACACAAGTAAATGTTAGAATAAGAAGTAATCTGATAATCAAAATCATCTGTGGGGAAGATGAGTGAAAACTGGGCATGTTGACCTCAAGAGTTGGAAAAAGACATATATATGTGTATGTAAAAAGTCATATATATGTCCTACATAAAAAGTAAATTTTAAAAGAAAATATATGACATGTAGTTTGAAGCCTCGCAACCTTTCAACATTTAAGTACAGTAATCATAAACTAAAGAGAGAATAAAAGAAAGTAAAAATTTTCATGGATCTCACATTCCAAGTTTGAGACAATATTCCCACTTAATACTTTCTCTATATCTTATAACTGGTTCAAGAATTTTTCTTTTAGGTGAAACTTTATTCTGTTTGGTGACAGTTCAAAATTAATTTCTAGGGGATTGGGATTTAGCTTAGCGGCATAAGCACCTGCCTTGCAAGTGTGTGGTCGTGAGTTCGATCCCTGGTACCGATAAAAATGAAAAAGACAAAAAAATTTAAAAAATTAATTTCTAGACCTTGAGCAGAATCCATTTAACCACTCCTAAACCCTCAGAAAGCATTAGTGCATATGTAGAACCAGACAAAACAGCAAGAAATTTAATTTTTCCTTCTGGCCTTTCAAACTTACAAACCTAACAAGGCCATTGACATCATCAGGAAAAAATGTAATTTCTGTGTGTCTACATATTAAAGCAAGCAAAACATGTTCACACATAACCGGAGGGATATTAGAATCCTAGGGACACAAGTTGTCATTGCCATTCAGCCACAATTTCATAGAGAAAGCTCCGGAGAGCACAGTCCAGGTTGGGTTGGTGTGGCCCATCCAGTATGCAACTGCATTTTAGCCTGTGTTTCAGATCTCATCCTTGTCTCAAAACTGTCCTGCACATCTATGCTCTACATCGAGTGAAAATAGTCAGTCTGAAATAGTGTAGAACCAAAAATTTGGAAAGTTATCTTAATAGCAGACTCTTCTTATATTCAATGAACCCAGCATGGAAAATATTATTTAAAAATTTTGACTGCATTGGACACAGGTGTTTTTCCTTGTCATAATCCTCCAAAAAATACAGTATTAACAATTATGCACTTGGCATTTGCATTGAATTAGGTATTATAAGTAATCTAGAGATAATTTAAAGTATATAGGAAGCATACATAGGAAAATACGCAAATTCTGTGCCATTTTGGATCAGGAACTTGAGCATCACTAAATTTTGGTGCCCTTGGGAGAGGCCTGGGAGCTAATGCTGTGCTAATACTGAGACAAAACTGTCTATATCATACTGCCTCATTTTGCTAGGGTCTAAAGAAAGACAAGCTGTAGTGTATTAGACAGATGGATATTTGACTTTTATCTAGATCCCCAGACCCAGATTGACTCCCTTGTATATAACATGATTATTAGTAAATAACTAGAGAATGTTTTCTAATTTTTATGAGGCTAAAGTCCTTTTACCCAAAATAAGAATAATCATAACAGCACTTTATGTAAGATTAACATGTGCCATGCACAGTGCTAACTGCTATACAAATAATGCCTTATTCAGCTTGCACAAAATCTTATGAGACAAACAGATAAGTGTCTGAAGGGTTAAACTACTCAAAGTTACACACACTCAATCTCAGCAAATGAGAGTTTGTCTTTATTAAACCGAACATACCTGGCTTTGGGCTGCATTCCTGAAAGCACTAAACACATATAATAGAATGCAATAGATATACATCTTTTTAGTTATCAATATTTTCCAATACATTTCTTATTTGATTGTCACAACAGCACTGTCATTTTGAAAATGGGTATTATTCTAATTTCACAAAGATATGAGTCTTAGGTTACTTAGCTAGTGTCAGTTATGAGATACAGGACACCATAAATATTTCAACTAATTATAAATCTCATGTATTCATTAACTTAGATTTTCAAGAATACATTTTATTTCTAGGAGCCTTACTATTTAAGTGTTTAATCTTTCCTATTTTAATCATATCACTAAACGTGATTTTTAAAGAGCAAATATTTCAGGTAGATAAATGAAATGATAAATTCCCTAATTTTCAAAGCAATTATCTGTGGAAAGACATTAGGCATAGAAAAAAAAAAGTTTTAAGGAGTCAGTTATTTTTCAGTGTAAGGAAATAGTCTCACTTATAAATGTATTTTTGTATTTGATAAGTATAATTTCAACCTGAGTTATAATCGGTTATCTGAGAATTTCTTTTTTCTCTGCCTTTATAATACCATTTCATTAATAAAATGATTCAGATTTTCCATTCATTCATAATCTTCTCTTAATCCAATAGATTTTTTCATTTCTGAAGCTTTTTTCACCACTTCAAAAAAAAGTTTATCATGAAAAGAGAAATGTATAAATGAGCTGAATTTCACTTAGGGTAATAGAGGAAAGCCTGTCCCACAGCCAATGAATGCCTCCGATAAACTTTCAAGATGACTGGGAGCGAGGCTGTGAAAAACAGGCTGATCATGATTCATTAAGCCAGATTTTAATTACTATCTAGTTTTATGCTTCTAGTTTTTACATGGAGGAGGATTCTAAACAAATTGAAGTTGAGTGTTCACAGTATGTTTTTTAAAAAAATTAAATTACAATCATTTCATTGGTAAGTTTCATATTGGGGATTTAGCATTTACGTACCAGGAAGAGTACCTGATTTATTCAGAAATGGCTGGCTTCACCAATCAGTGTATATTTTCATAGTTTATTTTTGTTTCCATTCTGCCACCGGCTCCCTTCTGTTACAAAAAGTGGGACACTTACTGATAGTTTCCAAGCAAAATTCCTTCATATCCCCCATGCAGGGGCCTCAGTTGATAGAGACGTCCCCTGAACAGCCAGCCCAGTTTTGGTTTCTCCAGAGAGCCTTTTAATTTTCCACTCCTGCCTCCTTGGCCTTTTGTCCAGACACTCAACATTGTCAACACACACAGTGGCCGTGGACACTCCAGGCACCAAGATCAATCCTCCAAGGGAGTAGGGGAGGATGTATACATCAATTGTAAATAATATTTTGCCTGTCTCTGCTAAAAACAAGCATGATAAACCGTTAGAATTAGTATTTTATTATTATAGAAATTCTAAATGTGTCTTTTTTTTTTTTTAAACTGGAGATTGAACCTAGGGACTCCACATTGGACTAAGTCCCCAAAGTTCTGTAAATTTTATTTTGAGACAGTTTCACCAGATTCCTCAAGCTAGGCTCCGATTTGCAATCTACCTTCCTCAGCCTCCCAGAGTGCTGGAATTCCAGATGTGCACCACCATCCTGGCTTTTTGGGTTTTTCCTACATTTATTTACTTATTTCTCAACTGAACAAATGTCACAGAAGATGGTTTGGGATGTTTGTTTTGTTTGTTGGTAACTGTCAGAGGATACACCAACAGCCTGTTTTGAGAAAGGATGGGGAAGTTGTATCACTGGTTTTTCCCTTTGTCTCACACCAGCCTTCCTAAGTATGTGTTTGGAAATAGCTTACCTGAGTTCTAAGTCTGCATCTGTGGACGATGAAAAAATATCTTGATGTTCTACATAAAAATCCGTATTGCTAAAAAAAATAATAAAGTCCATATGGCTGGCTTCTATTGAAAATATTTAAGCCCAAATTCTCACGTAGTAATGCTCAGCTACTGCAAGTGTTCCATTAACTCCATTCGTTTACCTTTTCAAGCTTCAAATTCAGGTCTGCACTCTACGGTGACTGAATTTACCATCTGAGGTTTTCCCACTAAGTCCACTACCTTTATGTAATTTAATATATCATTTCTTCTATTTTTTCCCAAAAATTATCCTTTTCATTCTAAATAATCATTAGATAGACTTTGATTTTTTTGTTTGTTGTTTTTGGTTTTGTGTGGGCGGGACGGGGGGATGCGGTACTGAGGGCTGAACCCAGAGGCTTAGCTCTGGGTAACATCCCTAGCCTTTTCTTCCATTTTTTTTTTTCCTAATTTTAAGACAAGATTTCACTGAATTGCTAAGTTTCCCGGGTTGTGATTCTCCTGTTTCAGCTTCCCAGAATACCAGAATTATAGGTGTGCGCCTGTAATCTCACTGAATTTTTTCTTTTTGTATCAGACTGTGGAAACACGAACTCCTGGGAAAATTGTGTAGCATTATAGTAATTTACAATTGTTGGGTGTGTCATCTGCTGTTCTTTTACACAGAATATAATTATGAGTTATGAGTTTATCAGAAGAAATACGAGTTTTATCATTTGTCCTCACAAATGCTGATCAGAATACATTTTTGACACATGTAAAACATCTTGGATTACTTTGCTCTTAAAATATGTACTAAAGCAATGTTTAAGATTTGTCTGGATTTCCTTTTAGCACTACATATGTCCTTAGAGGACAACATAAAGTGGCTTGGGGAGGTGATGGCTGAAATCGGACCAACCCAGACTCAAAGAATTGATGAATGGGACACCTTTAATGTAAAGCAAGCCAACGCTATCGTTGATTACTTAAAAATCAGGTATGAATTTCTTTCATAAAGTTGTTTCTTTTAGAAAATGTCTTGTAAATTTAAATTCAGTTTTAACTAAAATCAGATTTGTAGCCTTTACATGGCAGTCAAATAAGTCTGTAAATGTAATTTTCAAATCTCTCATCTAATAAACAAACACCAGTTCATTGGCTAATGTTGCATTCCCAAAAATGTCTTGTGTTTGACATTGATAAAACATAATTTTGATTTGTTGATAAAACATAATTTTATCTAGTTATACTAAATTACATGAAATGTTTCTTTTATTTGAAACTTAAATACAATTTTATTAACAAAATGGTATTTTTTATTAAACAGATTCAGTTACAACAGGATCTCTGTTTTAGGTAGCTGACCTTCACAAATACCTAATTATACATTTTAAAGAACAGCATTCATTTCCATTTTAATGTTTATTATAAGTAGCTCTGTATTACAAATTGAAGAAATTTATGCATTTTATGAAATTTATTATGTGCTCCAAAATATTTTGTACAATTGACCAAACAAACTGATTAAAGCTCTTTCTACTTAGAAATGATGGTGGCTGGAGGGAGAGTGTTTTTATCAGTGGTTCTTCCTTGATGAAGTTAGAAAGTCGTCTTCTTACATAGTCTTTCATAGTCTGCCTTGGAGTCATGCCTCTCTCCAAAGGGACATTTTCAGAATTTGCAAACATTCAAATTAGAATAGTAAAACTCTTTCTTTTGCCAAACTAAAGTTTTTGTACAGTATCTTTGTTTCTCTTATGCTACATTTGCCAATGTTTTCCAATGTTAAAAATTAACATTGTAAAATAGACTGCCAAATCATATCCTAGCCATGCTCATGATTTACTTGGCAAGGACTATGGTTGTCAATTGGAAGCTTTATAAGTATTAGTGTGTTTAAAATGATAAAGTTTATATACTGGATTTTGGCATGGATTAATAATAGCATATAATATATGTTTTTATTTAATGATGTTTGATACAATGTGTTTTCTTAAGAGCATTCCTCCTAATGAGTGCTTCTCACTAAAAGACAGTAGTTTTCATCAGTTTGAGTAAGATAAAATCCTGTGGGTGTGGAAAGAAAGGGCTGGAAATTCATAATTGAATCTGTGCCTTACTGTCTTTCTGCCCCTCAGGCCTTGAGAATGACTGGGCAAGAGAATTTATCCTGCACATTTGTAGTAGCATCCTTCTTTTCCATTTCCTCTTTTTTTGAACATACCAGGTTGCTCTTACAAAGCATATTATTACAGCTGAGCTCCAGGCCCAGGAGGTTTGTAATGGGCACTGTACCAACAGTTAACCACCACAGCAAAAGCCACATAAGGCATCGTGATGACACTTTCTGAACAATGAAGAATGGCCTCTCTTTCCTTGCTGATCTCACATCTCTAGGCAAATGTACATCAGTGTATTTTTAACATTTTTTCAAAAGATGATTAACTTAGATCATAACCAGAGTAACTTCATATGTCAAAAATCTCTACAAGCCCTGTAAGCCTAGAACATTGGAGCGCTGAAGAGGACTATAATTTCAAGAATAGCCTGAGAAAGTTAGCAAATTAGTGAGAACCTGTCTCAAAATAAAAAATAGAAAGGGGTGAATAGAAAATAGAATGAACCTCAGTATGAAGGCTCTTGGTTCAGTTTAACTCCATACCACAAAAACACCCCAAAAATAAAAACTCTAAAAGTAATATTCCATATATGAATCAAATAAAGTAAATCAGTGCTATTTTTAGTATTCTTCAATCTTCATATAGTGACTTTTGTATAAATTATACATTTTACATATCCTTATTACAGAAAGATGTTAGTAGGATACCTGGGATTGATACTGAAGTCTTGTGAAGGGAAATGTGCTTTTCTACAACACCTGTGCAGTAGATCTCATAGGGTCACAGATGTAGCAGCAATTAAACCATAGAGTATGTTCTTTTTAATGACTACAAAGCAGTTTTATAAATACGAAGGTAACTCAATTATCAGAAGTATAAATGTATCCCAGTTTAACCTGATACTAAATTTATCTCAACTCTCACAACCTTGTTTGATGGAGGAAGAACTGTTTATAGAATGTGGCCCATAGACCACGAACTTACTTGATAATAAATTAAATTTCACTGTTACTCATAATGTTCAGCTTGTGTATTCTGTGCTGTGTCTGTGATCCGAAAAAAACTAACACTCCACAATACTCTCCCACAATACTCTAAGGATTAGGAAATTTACATATACAATATATGCATTTTTACATGTTGCATATTGCATGCAAGTATACATATCAATGCATATCAGTACCAGTGTAGCCTTTCAATATTAACATCACTTACATGTATATATCAGATCCAAGTACACTTTTCTGTGTGTGGTCTCCTACTTGAAATCAGTTATTGCCAGGCAGATATCTCATGCAGGTATATATCCAAGGTAAACAATCAGCGCCATTTCTCTGTGTATACCAGGGTGCTGCAGTTCCTGGGACGAATCCAGATATCTTGCCTCATTTTCAAACCATCTTCCATCAATTTATATTTGAGATTAGATGTTTCATGGAATAGTCTGGAGTTCCAGGCAGGCAGAAATCTAAAGAGGAAAGAAAAATGCATCCCCATAACTGAAGTGTCACTTTGTTCTCAGACAAGACCATTTAATAGCTCCCCATGAATGAGGCAAGAGTGGGAACATAGCCTGACCCTGGAAAAGAGCCTTCTTTTTAGACTCCTTCACTTGGACAGATTATCCTAGGGCTGGCTTTGTCCCCTGCCCTACATCTTCAGCTGCATCCGGGTCATGCAGTGTATTTTCATTGTAGGAAGTTAACTTCTGTCTTGGTACAGGTTTAATTCCTAAGTATAAATGGGGAATAAGACTAAAAGATTATGAAATTGCAGGAAAGAAAACTTATGAGTCAAGTTATTTGTGCAACACAGGATAGACAAAGAGAAATTTCACTGTGGTTCACTTAAAGGAAGCCAACCATTTCCAAAATAGTCTTTAATTTTTCTACTTAAAATCAGTTATTGCCAGTGTAATGTTTTTTGACCTTACAACTTTTGGTAAGTCACTGCTGTAAAGGATGGAGAATTAGAATTTATTTTGCTTCGATGAATTCTCAAATTTTACTAATCTTAATGTATTTTTCTAACCAACAATTCAAAATGATGTCAAAAGCTAAGTTAGTTTTGTAAATGTTGATGAATAATTCAAGCATACAAGGTTTAAAAAAAAAAAAAAAACATGACTGAGTCCACACACCCGTCACTTTTTAATGGATTGGGTTAGTAGTGAGATCAGCTGCTAATATAACTCAGAGAGACCCAGCTGCCTGAGGATTTCTTCATTGATTTCAAATGAATTGAAACTTTGATCCATTACAGCATTCAGGAGAAGCCATTATTATACATGCTCTGTAGCTACATTTTGCAAATGTTAATTTCTCAGTTATATTAAAATCAATTTTCTTAAATAGCAAGAGGCACCAGAGTGAAAGAGAAACCACTAAGACAATTTTTGTTCTTGGGCATTTTGCTGTATTATGAGTCTATTAATTTTCCCAACCAGCAGGAAGAGAATTAGAAAAATTCAAATATTATCACAAACAGGATATTAGAAGTCAACCCTTCAGTAAATTTTTAACTCTCAATGATACATTGCTAAGCTCTTTAAATTTACTAGGAATATTTATTTTCAGAAACTGCTATGTCTTAGCTTGTTGTAGTTTTTATACATGGACCATCTTCTAGTTTTCAGGTAGGAACAAAGGAAATGATACATCTTAAATTTATTCTGTCCTTTGATGTGTGACTGAATATTCTGCAGGAAAATTGGACATCCTCTAAATGGATTTCACTTCATATCACATCATTTTCAAGTGTTATTATATTTTAATTTAATCTTGAAACAGTTTGATGTCAGAAATAATATTTGATATATAAGTAGATTATATAAATCAATACCATTCACATCAGAAAATTGACTCCAGTTCAGAACAAAACATAGTAACATAAAGTTTGATGTTATTTATGGATAGTGCATTTTTATTTTTCAGCCAAGAAAAACAAAGATGCAATCTAATTGTTTGCTTATCCAAAATCTGTTTAATCATCACAGGTAGATTTGCTGGCATTATTCCAGGTATCGTGTTGTATTGCCAGTGTTTCATAAATCAAAATTTTGATTTCTTTGTATTTGTGTGCAATTTCTTTTGGAATAAGGAGATGGCTAATTTTACATTAGGATTTAGTATCTTTAGCTTGGTCAGTCTAAATTTTCCTTTAATAAATACCTTTATGGCATGATATAAATTTGTCACGCAGCACATTAATTTTGTGTTTCAGCATCTTTCAACACTACAAGCTATACGAGTTTTTGTTCTACTCTGCCAGGGAAGAAATTGCGATAGGGACTGAGGTAAGTAATTTATCTAGATGGGACCAATTAAGCAGAATCACTTAATGCATGCTGATCAGCATCTGGATCTTTAACTGCTTAAAGCAAATTCTTGTCAAGATTACTCAAGTGTTAATATAACCAACTAGTAGTCTGCAAAAAAGAATAATTATATAAAGTGAACTTTGGATTAAGAAAATAAGCTGCCTTTTGGCAGAATCATTGTTAATCACGTATGCTTAAGACTTTATGGATTATTTGACAAAATAATTATTGACTCAATTGAGTAGGGTACATGTGTCTTCATACAAATAAAAACAGAAAAAAATTAGACAAGTTAATTTGGTTACATCTTATAATTTCACATTTATTTTTGGTCTATGCATTTTCTAAGGTCTAATTGAAATGCTACTTCCTTAATGAAGCAAGCCTATCTTACCTACATACATATTAAACCAAGGGTTCAGACAAACTGTCTATGTATAGTCTATGATTTTATTTCAGTTGGTCTCTTCATGAATTTTAGTAATGTTATACAATAAGCATGTAAATATGCACTGTTACATGGTGTTCTAATTTTTTCCTGTGGGTTGATATACTCAGGAAGCTCAAAAGTAATTTTCCCAAAGCAAGGATTTGCAGCTATTTCACTTTGATTTGTGGCAGCTTATAACACGATACTGGAAACAATAGCTCCTCAGTTAATATTACATACGCTTATTCAGTGCTATGCACTGCTTCTGTGACAAGTAGTCTACCTATAGACACTTCTAGATAGTGTTACTAGAATTACATATTTACAATTACTAGAAATCAATACTGAATAGGCAAACATTTTAAGAAAATGAAAGCTGCTATAAAAATTGATCCTTTAAATTCTCGAGCCCCTTACAAGACTTCACTGCCTCGTAGAAGTATCAGGTACAGTCGTGATCATTATCAGAATCAAACAGTGAATAGGAAGATATTTACATTATTTTTATATTTTTTCCTGACATTGAGCACTGGATGCAAAGTCACAGCTGTTCCGTCCTCGGATTGTTATTCTGGGATTTATAAATTGCTTACTTCAAAAACAACTCTATCACTGTTACTCTCCACTGAGTTCCTATTGAATGGAGCCCTCTTAAAAGTAAGCAGCAGGAAAACGAAGAGTCCTTTTTGCTTTAGATTTTCATTAAAATTTCTCCTTTGCAGTCTTCTCATCCTCTAGTTTAAATTAGGTATCACTGGACAAACTTTCACTGAAGATGTTTCCATTTCAGAATTATATCACACAGTGGGACAGTGGTATGGTTGGTAATCATCGTTTGAAGTATAACCTTACCTCATCTCCCTTGTAAAATTTTGGAGAATGTCGTGGCTTGAAGAGTAAAACAACTAGATATTTGGAGTCATCCCCCAAAAATTTCAGAGTGCCTTTTTTCTTTGTTAGTTGAACAATGCCTTTCTTCTATGTTGTAAAGATATATTTAGATGACATTTGTGCTTATGGAAAGATAAATTAGATGAAGCAGACAGAGATTGGCTCTTTCCACTGTCTCTTTTATTTTCCCCCAGCTGACCAGAGCCACAAAAACATTTTTAAGGACAAGATCTTGGGCCTTCCAGAATTATATGACTTATAGAATTTAAAGGATTAACATTAAGAAAGTATATATTATATTTTATATCTTATGGAGTCTCAGAAATATCTGATAACTTTTGGTGCAAATATGTTTTGTAATTAAGAACTTTTCGTGGGGGACTCAGAAGCTGGCCTCACTCATGTGTTATTATTCATGCTGAGCTCAAATTTTTTGTGACCAAATATGGGCCACATGACATTCCTATGAATGTTTCAAATTTAACTCTCAAGCTAGCATTCAATTTAGAAAACAATGAAACAATTTGGTTTCTTTCTTAACAAAAGTTAGGCAATTAAGAGGAAATGTAACTCTCCTGTTCATAAGTGAGAACAATAATGTAATAGACTATCTCTGTTTTTCACCTGCTAATGAAATAACAGATCTAGGTAATGGTGATCAGTGGCTGCTAGTATCACAAAAAGAGAGGAACCCAGAGTATTTTCCACCTAATAAAATAAAAAACACCTTTCTCAGTTTTCTCTCTGTTGAGGCAAAATATCCAACACCCACAGTTAAAGGAGAAAAGTTTTGTTTGGCTCACAGTTTGTAGAGGTTTCAGTTTATAGTTGGTTGGCTCCAAGGCAGGCTGTCATAACAGAGGAGCATCACAGAGGAGAAATAGTTGACAGCAAGCAAGCAGGTGAGAGAATGCTGGCCTTCTTTCGAACCTTTATATTTTAGGCAGAATGCCTTCTCTAGGATAGAGGTAGCATTCTTATGCTTAATCCTAGCCAGGACTGTGCCAGTCAGTGGACTGACTTAGTAATCACATACTCTTGATCCCAATACTACACACTGTAGATCCACCCACCTCTGAAAAGCTCCCCCCCCATGACTGCGTGCACGATCCTTAACACCACCTATGAATTATTCTTGCTAGACATTTGAAATGGTCCATCTTCTGGTTGTTTGTCTAACACCAGCTTCTCATTTACTTAAAATATGGAAGATAGCAGAGCATGCTAAGATTATCACAGCAATGCTGTGCAAGTTTCTACAAAATAGATTATGTGGAATGTTCGAGAAAAATTGCAAGGTGATAAAATAAAGTATGGAAAATTGAGTCTGTAGATTTAAAAGGAGCTCAGTTTCAGTGTAGGTATCTTGTTTGAATTCTATGCTATGGTTTGGATGTAGTGTAAGTGCAGCCTCTGTTGGAAGCTTGCTCCTCAGTGTGGTGAGACTGAAACTAACTGAATCTTTAAGAGCTGATGCCTACTGGAGGTCAATGGAATGATCTTCAAAAGGATTTTCTTAGATCACTGAGGTCATGCCCTTAGGAAGGATTAGCCATTGAGGTCCCTGGTAACACACCTTTGGAAAGGATTGTGGAACCCCAATCTGTCTTTAGCTTCCTGTTTCAAGATTTAGCCTCTTCCTTGCACACACACTCCTGCCATTGTGACTCTCTCTCCAGCTCCCTCAGAGTCTTCACAATTGCCAGCACTTTGCCCTTCTGTCTCCAGAACTGTGAACTAAGTAAACCTCTTCTTTTTTACAAAGTTAGCCTATCTCGGATATTTTCATATAGTAGTAAAAGACAATATAGTAATACTTCAAAGTCAATATATCCAAAACACACAAAACAGTGTTTATATAATCAGATATATTTACACATTAAATATCGATGTCAGTATTCAGCTTACTGTTATTCATTTTAAAATATGAAATTTAAAATTAATGCATATTAAATTAATTCAAAATTAAATTAATGAATTTTATTACCATATATATGTAAATATTTACGGAATCAGCATTTAAAATAAGTTGGGATATAAGTTTAATTTTTAAAAGTTTAGACTTATATGAAATTTTAAAATGAGTCCAGTTTATTAAAAGATCCATTTCCCATCATGACAACCATGTCCCACATTGATACATGATAGTTAACCCAGAATTGTCCCTGAAAACAACTAGGAAAGCTAGCCAAAGTATTTTTGAAGTTTTACGTATTTGAAAATTCAGGGAGCAGAGTTTAAAAAAAATATGAGTACAAGAGGGAAGCAGGCAATATAATTATCTAGAAGTTTAAGAAGTATGGCTAAGAGTCTTAGAAAGAAGTAGAGCTTTGATAGACACATGGAGCTACAAAAATGAAAATGGGAAGGAAAACAAAATACAATAAATAGCAAAAGTTGTATGTAAGACTCCAAAGGATTTTAAAAAAATCAGCACTCATCAGCCCTGAACTTCAGTTTCAGATTATCTCAGATTCCAGTGAATTTAACTGTGTGTAGAGCTAACCATTTCTAAAGTAACATGAACTATACCACACTCCACATTAACATTTTTTCATAACTATGTCTGTCATATAATAAACAGTGGTCACAAAAAAATATGAACAGACCACAAGTATTTCACATGATTAAGTAGTCATATTAAAAAAATTATGCTTGAGAAAAAACAAATCTTCTTAGACAAAAATATAAAATGTTAGATTTTAGCAGAGAACAAGAAATTTTTAAAAAAATATTAAGTGGAAATCATAGACTTGAAAAAAGTACTTGAAATTGCAAGCCAAATAGATGTGTTTACAGTAGATTAGTCATAACCAAAAAGAAAAAACTGATAAGGTCAAATATAAGCCAAAGAAAAAAATTAAATGAAATGCAGGTATCCAAAGCTATAGTAAACAAAAAAGAAGTATAAGAGAATATGGTTACAGTGAAAAGTGTGACAGAGATAATTACAGAGAGAAAAGATAGAAGTAACATTTTAAGAGTAGTCTTTCCAGAAATATCCAACATTAAGGCACAGATTTAAGATTCACTGTGAATCACCAATCTGAGTAAATCCACACATAAGCATATCAAAATAAAATTCTGAAAACAAAAATTGAGGCAAATGTTAAAACCAGACATGGAAGAAAAAGACGTTCTTTTCAAGGAAACAGCAATCAGATTGACTGTCAACTGACTTCTCATCCAAGAAAACAACAACAACCAAAAAAGATTCAAAAGACGGTGGAATAGCTTCAGTTGTCCAAAGGAAATACAGTAGTACCTCGGTTCATAACCTTCATTCATTTCACAATCCCAGCAAAGATGGCCACATTGATGTTTTTTGCAGGAAAAATGACCAGGGTCGTGTTAGGCAGCCAGTGCAGAGTATGCAAACGAAGTAAAGTTTCGCCCAATGTTTCATTTGTGAACCAGACTGTTCACAAACAGAAGCATCCCTGAACTGAGTCACCGCAGTAGCTGCCTGTGTGGAGCAGCATCGCAGGTTATGAGAAGAAAAGTTCTAATGGAGTTACTGCTGCACAAACAAAAAGTAGCAACCACCAATGTAAACTCCAAAAGCTCAATAGCAAAAGACCCAAGAAACTCAGGACAAAAGTGGGCAGCAGGCCCAACAGGTATTTCTCAAAAGAAGACCGACAAGTGGCCAAAA